GAAGCTCATTTATGCATTCATCTCCAGCAGGCTGGACTATTGCAATCATTGTTTGTCTGGTTTTCCCAAAAATTCTGTGAAGTAACTGCAGTTTATTCAGAATTAAATTAAATTAAATTCAGTTTATTGATATAGTGCCAAATCATGACAAGAGTCATCTCAAGGTGTTGAGACCATAGGCCCTATCAAACAAAATGTTTTAAGCCTGGTGTTAAAAGTAGAAAAGGTGTCCGCCTCACGGATTAAAGCTGGGAGCTGGTTCCACAAGAGAGGAGCCTGATAAGTAAAAGATTTGCCTCCCATCCTATTTTTAGAAATTCTGGGAACCACCAGTAAACCTGCAGTCTGAGAGCGAAATGCTCGGTTAGGAACATATGGAACAATCAGGTCACCGATGTATGATGGAGCTTGATTGTTAAGAGCTTTATATGTGAGAAGAAGGATCTTAAAATCTATTCTGAATTTAACAGGTAGCCAATGTAGGGAAGCTAAGACAGGAGAGATATGATCTCTCTTTTTAATTCTCATCAGAACTCTAGCTGCAGCATTTTGGACAAGCTGAAGACTTTTAACTACATTCTGTGGACTTCCTGAGAGTAATGAATTACAGTAATCCAGTCTTGATGTAATAAATGCATGAACTAGTTTTTCAGCATCACTCCAGGAAAGGATGCTTCTTATCTTAGCAATATTCCAAAGGTGGAAAAAGGAAATCCTACAAACATGTTTAACCTGGGATTTGAATGTCCTGGTCAAAAATAACACCAAGGTTCCTTACTTTGTTCTCTGAGACAAATTTAATGTTCTTCAGGTCAGGTAATTGGCTAAGCAGTTTCCATTTATAAAGTTTCGGTCCAAAGATGAGAATTTCAATCTTGTCCAGATTTAAAAGCAGAAAGTTTAGAGTCATCCAACTTTTTATGTCCTCAAGACAAGCCTGCAATCTACGTAACCAATCAGTTTCATCAGCATTAATGGATAAATATAAATGAGTATCCTCAGCATAAGAGTGGAAGTTTATCCCATGCTGTCTAATGATTTTACCAATTGGGAGCATATATATAGTAAAAAGAATTGGTCCAAGCACTGAACCCTGTGGTACTCCACAAGTAACCCTGGAGTATGAAGAAAATTTATCATGTACATTAACAAAATTAACTTTGTCAGACAGGTAGGATTTAAACCAGCCTAGCGCTGTTCCTTTGATGCTTTCAAAATGTCCAAGTCTTTCCAAAAGAACATTGTGATCAACTGTGTCAAAGGCAGCACTGAGATCTAACAAGACTAGAACAGACACAAGATTCTTATCTGAGGCCATGAGAATATCGTTTGTAACTTTCACTACTACGATTTCTGTGCTGTGATACTCTCTAAAACCAGACTGAAATTCCTTAAAGAGATCATTAGTGTTTAGATGCTCACATACTTGATTGGCCACTATTGCTGCCAAATGCTGCTTCTTGGGTCTTAACAAGAACCAAGAGAGTCGAGCACATCACTCCTGTTCTTAAATCTCTACACTGGTTACAAACCAATTTCAAAGTACTACTACTGGTTTATAAATCACTCTTGGCATGGGGTCAGAATACTTGTCAGATCTCCAGATCTCAACAGTAGGATATTTTTTAACTGCATATACACCCAGAAGGGCTGAGATCCTTAGGAAACAGTCAGCTGGTAGAACCCCAGGTCAGAAGCAAACAGCTGCTTTTAGCTACTATGCTGCACACAGATGGAATCAGCTTCCTCATGACCTCAAATGTGCCCCAACTCTAGTAACTTTTAACTGAAAATTGAAAACTTGCATGTATTCATCCGCTTTTGAATGATTGTTTCGTATGCTGCACCTTCTGCACTGTAACTGCTCACCCTTTCACTTTGTCTTTTTTCTGATTCTGAAATTTTTAATTAATTAGTGTATTTCATTAGTTCTAAATGTGTGCATGTATTTTAATTTTGCTGTCACGTTGATTTTAATGTTTATGCTATTCTAGCTAATGGAAAGCACATTGAATTGCCTCTGTGTATGAAATGTGCTATAAAAACAAAGCTGCCTTGCCTTAAATGCTTTCTACCTTTTACGTTCTCATTTGTTTAGTTTTATCTGTAAAATAACATTTTGAGCTTAGCTGAGGTTTCCATGATGCTGAAGGTCACAATTATTAAGAAAATCACACATTTCAACGTCTATGATTTCAACACCATCTCAATCTGATACGAGCCAAATTCACGGAGCAGCGTTAATAGATGGCTGGGAATTAAATCCTAAAATATCAGGATTTTAATATTTTTTCTCCAAAATAATGAGATTTTAGGAGTTTCTATGGTTCAGTGATTCTCTGATAGAAGCACAGATCCCTTTAATCATCAGCCAGAGGGTGGTGGGGATGGTCTGGGTCTTATTTTTAATCCAAATAGATAGGGGGAACCTAAACGTGCACAAAAACACTCTCTCTCTCTCTCTCTCTCTCTCTCTCTCTCTCTCTCTCTCTCTCTCTCTCACACACACACACACACACACACACACACACACACACACACACACACACACACACACACACACACACACACACACACACACACACACACACACATTTACGCCTGTAAGAAAAGTGATGTCAGAATCTGAATGTCAACAGGGCCAGCAAAACCTTCAATCAGCACACGCTCTTTAGCAAATTACAGGGAAAATTAGAGTGTGAGAGCAGGATGAAGGCATGAAGAGCCGATTGTGCGGTGGGGAGAGGGAGAAGCTTTTCCACAGATTACAGAACAGCCACGGATTATGGCTGGTGGATTATAAGGGTTTGGCTGAAAACAAGGGGGAAAAATTTTAATGGAAAAGGTAGAGCAAACAAATATTTTCTGTCAATTTCTTGGTTAGTGGGTTTTCAGTTTCCTTTTTAAAGATCAGTGTTGTTTCATACACTATCAATGAAACACTAACTTTGCAATTTATTAATTATTAGAACATTTCTTTCGTATGAATAAATGATCAGTTATGTTTATTTTTTGGCTGATTATAGTTTCTAATAAGTATGATTAACAGAACATTTTAATGAGAAAAATTCTACCTTGTACGTTATAGTCACGTACACTCTACGAAATGAAATGCTGAATTTACTCAACCAAGTTTTCTGCTTCACCGTCCAACTGGATGAAAGTGAAATTACAACTATCGTAAAGAACTCTGTCACAGCCTGCTGAAGCTAGCGCTATCAAGAAGCTAATGCTAACACAAGTCAATTGTACTAAAAGAAGCCAAGAAGTAAAAAGATCCACATTGTTGGACAAAAAATATTATAACTTACAAGTTCAGCAGCAACAAAGCCAGGTCACCATCAGTCTGTGATTTTGTAGCCTCCATTAGCTTTCTCAAACTAGCGTAGGCCGTCCAGATGTTCACTCTGGTTTTAGTTCTTTGCTTCATCTCCAAAGACATAACTCTCTTTGACTTCTAGGCTCCTACACGATGCTAACAAAAACAGTGAAAATGTTCCTTCTCCTTGTGTTTTTTATTAACGGTTGGCAAACAAAAAACACTAAGTGCTAGCCTTTATACGAGCTACCGGCACAGTAAATAGCTATTGCCGTAAAGCAGGTAGTAACCTCCTCCTAGTGAACCTACCCTAACCACAAAACAGGTAAGTGTAGTTTCTGGTCACCAGAGGGCTACAGATTGCTGTCCAATGTCAAGTTGCCCAAGGTTCAACAACCACTGAAACCATTTTGAAAGCATTAGCTTAAAGTGTTAAAAACTCCTTAGTGTTGCTTTAAATTTAAAGAGTAGTATACATCATCACATACTGGTATCTTAAATATAAATTTATTTTACTCTTTTAAATTCAACTACGTTTAGTTGAACCAGATGATTTAACATGGTTAAGTAAATAAAACATTTTAATTCATAGAGTGTAGATAAAACTCCCCCAATTTTTGACACTCTGCATCGCATATTTTATTTATAATAATTAAAATTAAAACAGCTTTTACTCAGATTTTTTGGTTTAAAAAGACAAACTCTTGTTAAAGTGATTGATGAATGCAACAAATATTAAATCGCATGAACTAAAACATTAATCCAAAGGAATTTCCGGATGAAACCTCCAAATATAGTCGTACTGTTACTCTCAAGTTAAACAGTTCTATTTGTAGAGAAAAACATGGCATCTTATCTTAGCAAAAATTCTAATGTGACTTCTTATGACTAAAGTTGGACGAACAAATATTTATATCTGCCTGTTAAATTTGAAGCTTTGGAGTTTATTATCTATGCGTGTTTCTGTTGGACAGCTTTTTATGCCACCTGATTTGTGTTTGGTTGTTAATTTCATTTTTGTTTATTCAGCCCAGCTCCATTTGTTTTGTGCTTAGTCTGTCCTGCTGATGGATAAATACCTTTTGCAAAAATGTGCTTTGGATGAATTTACATTTTGTCCAAAAAGTACTTTCATTTATTTTCTTCTTGCCACTCTCCATCTTTACGTTTTGTTATCCAAAATGTTATTATGGCAAACGCAAAGCTGAGAAGTTAAATTTGCACTGAATAAAATTTAGAATTTAAAACTTCACTTGTTAAATGTGGGAGAAAAGGTTTAAATAGCTAAATGTGCTTTTGTTTCAGAGCTTTGGCTGCTACTTTGAGCCTTTCGGATCAAATAGTTTTAAATATCCTAATTTCTATTCATTCAAACATACATTAAATTAACCATTGTCAAATAAAATCCACAACTAGGATTTACAAATATACCTGTTGTTTCCCATTTTGTCTTTAATTTTCATCATGCTGTCGCTTCTGAAAACAGTTTATTGTTGAAACAGTTTAAAGGCAGATGGTTACTTTTAAACTGTCAAAGTCACAAAAGTTGTTTTTATCACCATCAGCAGGGAGTCAGTTATTAGAAATCTGCACAAAAGCACTGCACATATTTGCCACTGATTGAGTGTTTATACTTGGACTTTTCTTTATTTTTATTTCAAGCACTTTGTTTCTTTTGCAGAGCTCCTTGGAGCCGCGAAGCGGGTTAACGTCAACATCCAGGATGCAGACGGGTGAGAGAATCAACCTTGTTTCATCACTTCCGTTCCTTCCTTACTTCATTAGTATTAGTATAGTTACTTACTCATTCCCTGTTTTAAGATCCAGGAATGCTATAACCAAACGCAAAGAATTCCAACACAGGATATTTTTTACAGGTGTAGAAGGAAATAAAGGATAACAAATATTTTCAGCATGTGCACACAATCATGTCACTAAAGCTTCATTTTTCCCTCCCAAAACTTTCTTAAAGACGGTGCATTAACAGTGCCACTCTCACTGATCAGTAACCAGAAAACCCCTGGAGGCAGATGACCATCTCACCGTAGATGATACTTTTGATGTGCAGCAGCATCTTTTTTTATTACTTTAATACATTTGTAATAAATCATAGTTTATATATATACATATACATACATATATATATATATATATATACATATATATGTGTATGTATAGAGCTCCGGGAGTTGACGCCACTTCTCCCGGCATGCAACAGTTCAAATTGAAACGGCGCCGGCAGTTGGACTATTTGTTAATGTCAGAAAACTCAATCAAACGGGAAATATGGTAGATTCGTGTTGTGCCCCAGGATGCAGAACAGACGCGGACGACATAAGGAATGAGCCATCTACAGGATTCCCCAAGATCCGGAGCGCCGCAAACGTTGGATCATTGTAATAAAACGCGCTAGTGACCGGGCGAAAATGAAGCTGTGGGATCCCGAGAGTAAAGGTTTTCGCTTATGCAGCGACCACTTCATATCAGGTACTTAAACCAACGTTTCCTCAACTGTGTTGGTGTTTATTTTAAATGCTTTTATTACGATTCTTAGTGGGCTTCCTAAACTTATTTTGGCGTGGCTTTTTCTGTCTTATTACTCATAGCCAGTGTTGTGAGTAATGTGGTACAAAAGTAATTAATTACTGTAATGCATTGCTTTTTGCTGTAATGTGGTAATGTAAGGCATTACAGGGAAAGAAAATGGTAATATTTACTCGGTACAATTGTCAGTGACGCGGTAATTACAATGCATTTTTAAACCCAGAATCAAGATGTGTTCCTTAAAAATTCAAATTGCGGGAAACCCGACGAAAGATCCAGTATCTGCATATATTACGTTATTTATGGACTCAGCTTTGCGGGCAGAGAGGACGCAGCGGTAACGGCTCAACTACTCCAGCTGCGTCCTGCACGCGGCCGCTGCAACATTCACAAAATCGCTCCACTAAAACAAAATAATTAACTTGCGATCGTTCATATCAGCGCATGTTCTCTGGTATTTTGTGCTTTTCTGACAGGCTTTGCCTCAGCTGAGTTCATAATCTGTGCCCCGGTGATTTCAACTCATTACTGCTGGAGCGCCGCACATGTGAAGATCTCTTTGGCTGATCGTTAGAAAGTAGGAAGTCTAGGAAACAGTTTTTTCTGGAAGACGGAGAAAACATGCAGCATGCAGGAAGGTTAGAGAGAGAAAGAGCAGGTAATTATTCAAATAAAATCAACAAAACAAAACAAAGTGCTTGAAAAGAAAAAAATAGGTAGATTTATCCCCAATAATCATTTTTACCAGTGAAAAGCAATAATATATAAGCATTTAATATTTATACATGTGATAGAATCAGATCACCCCAGAAGTCAGTCCCACATCCAGGGCCGTATCAAGGCATTTGGGGACCAAGGCAAATATAGGCTTGGAGCCCCCACCACCTCACTCCCTGCTCAGTTAATATAAGATGGCAGCGCGCTGAGAGTACAGATTGTTGTTGCTTTTATTTAATAAACAATCATTTTAAAGCACTGATATTATATCTGTTTTTAACAGCAGTCCTAGCTCAGACACCACATCACTTTCCACATATATGTCATGAGCTCACTGAGCGTCAGATTACCAGATTCATATTGAAGTTGTTTTGGTGAAAGTAACTTAAAGTAATGCAAAAGTAGTGTAATGCCTTACATTTTAAAATCAGTAATATTGTAATGTAATGAATTACTTTAAAATGAGGGTAACAAGTAATAAATAATGCATTACAGTTTTCAAGTAACTTGCCCAACACTGCTCATAGCAGCAAGTAAACGTCACGTAAAACGTTGCCTCGTGTTTCTGCGTGCTGCCTTTTACGTGTTTTATGATCACAGCAATTAACCGGCTAAGCTGTATTTAATTTCTAAGCAATGGTTGATCAATTGTCAGATCACACATAAAAAGCACTTTGGATTGTTATTATCTGTCTCACCGAGACAGATCTCAGACAGATCCTGAGACGCTCCTGCCTGACATATTTATTTTATTCACGGGGAAAAAAATCAAACTAGTGATTTCTCTTGGCGTTCAGTTTATACATTCAAACAGCACAGCACTCTATTTAAACTACTTACGTGTAAATCTGTTATTTGTCCATCCATCCATCCATTTTCTTCTGCTTATCCGGAGTCGGGTTGTGGGGGCAGTAGCGTAGAGAGTCCCAGACTTCCCTCTCCCCAGCCGCCTGAGCCAGCTCCTCCGGGTAAATCCCAAGGGGTTCCCCGGCCAGGTCCAGTAAGAAGTCCGCTCCGACAGCTTCTGGCGTTTTTAAAAAGTATCCCAGGGACACGGTAAGGGTCGGAGATGTTTAGTCTATTTAATTTCTGACTATATAAAACGATTTCTTCGGTTTTAAAGTGTGAAGTAAACTCAGACGAAGTAAAATCCAAGCCGATCCCGTTCAGTTCATGGTTAAGATCCGTGTTTGTTTAGCTTCTTTTACCTGCCAATATGGCGTCTATTAACTGAGAGTCACATGGGGTCCAGAGCTCTCTCTCTCTCTCTATATATATATATATATATATATACCCCGCCACAAATTCCCATCACACCCTCTGCGGGTGGTCTCATCCTTCAAAGCTCAGGTCCTCTACCAGAGGCCTGGGAGCTTGAAGGTTCTGCTAAGTATCAGGCTGTTCCTAGAACTGCACTTTTCTAGACTAAGATGTCTGATGTTTTTCCTGGGATCTGCTTTAGCCACTCTTCCAGTTTATATATACCATTAAAAAAAATGCATTATTCTCAATAGTTTTTGCAGATATTTTTGTTGAAACAGTAACAGGCAAATTAAGCTGTTTTATATTCTAAAGCTATTATATTTGAAACAATAACTTAAATAATTTATTGAAATTTTGTCTTTTTTTCTGAGATGTTTATGCATCTCAATTTGAGGTAAATGTGTTGCATGCATAACCCTTTTGTTTATTTTTTAAAGAGCAAGTTCACCAAGAAACCATTTTTACTTGTTATTTTTTAAATATGATGTGTCACTCTGAGTTTAACATGCAGGCTGGACGTGAAAATGGTCTTTTACCCCTATTTCCTGCATTAGCTGCCGATAGAAAATAGACAGGGAAAGGCTTGCGTTAGAAAAGCCAGTAAATTGTACGTCATGTGGTCAAACATATTCATGCACTCACCCACCTTGGCTCGCGACAGGGAAGGCTGTTGTTGATTTAGCATCCTGAAGAGAGCAGAGCAGAGCAGATTTTGTCTGTTAGAAGGTAACCATTAGTTTTAGCAACTCCACCACACAGCAATAGCTGCTCTAGGCTTGTGTTATTTGTGGAGATTAGAGATCAAGGTTGTAGAGCAAACAGAGTCAGTGGTGGAGTTGCGTTGCTGTTAGCCGATCCAGTGTTCTGTCATTCTCTCCTCCAGCTGACTTCTCCATGCTGATACATGCACTTCTGGGCTTTTCCCCCCAGAGTATCTTGCAAGGCATGCATTACTACTAGAGACCACTGCAATTGTATTGATTAAACAAGTGTTCCACACCTTTAAAGGATCTGAGTTCTGTAGGCAACAGTCCACTCATCCTCTAATTCCTGAAACAAGAGCACCTGACCTTTTTCTCCCATAGAGATCAACACCCAAGGCAATCCTTTATACTAGAGACCACTTCACCTTTGTTCAACAAAATGAGTTAACTAATGAAAAAGAATAAAGGAGCAATGCACTGAAGAGGTACGACAGGGACACATTTTGTGTGCCACCCAAAAGATTTTCACTGGCCCTGTCTCCCTTTAAGCCCAGATTGGTTTTCGAGCATCACATTTGACAAGAAGTGTTCCTGTACGAATTCTGAAAGTTGGGTTTTTGGTTATATTTAGCTGCCTGATTGTGTGCACATGCTTGGTTAATAATTCTGCCCCATCAGATAACAACCATTTTTTCCTTATTGGGTTAGCTGGAATCAGATAATTGGACTAGGCTCTTTGTGTAATGACTGATGAGTCGCTGATTTGACTCCAGGGACTGGTTCTTATGTTCACAAGGGATCCATTAGATACACACAACCACATTCACACATAGATGCCCCACATGTGTGCTCTCCACACTGGGGAGTAAGATTGCTTATTAATGGAAGTAGGTCACCCCCACCCCCCACCCAGTTCCCATCTCTCACACAGAGCTGAGGGGCGGAGCGGCTGCATGCTGAAGATTAATTCTGCAAAGTTATACTCACACACAGTGTGTGTGTGTGTGTGTGTGTGTGTGTGTGTGTGTGTGTGTGTGTGTGTGTGTGTGTGTGTGTGTGTGTTAGGCTGTCACCGTTGCACCATGCTGCTCTGAGTGGTAACAAGGAGCTGATCTCTCTGCTGCTGGAGACTCAGGCAGCGGTGGATATCAAAGACCATAAAGGTAAAAAAAAATGTACATCAATTTTGACAGTGTCACTACAATTCACTCGCTCACTCAAACACATACAGGCACAAAAACACACTCACAAAACCCACAAAGCGGTCCAGAAAACAAAAGATCAGAAAAGAGACACGGGAAGGCAAAAGCACATTTCTGGCTTTCTTCTGTGTGACAAACAACACCAGCTTATGTAATGAAAAGTGAGCTTGTTGGAAATGCAATAACATTCTTTTTTTAAAGGAGCTGACAGATTTGTTTTCACAGTAAATCATAGAAAATAGAGGATAAAAGCTTTGTGGCTGCAGGACTGAGAGCCAAATGGAATCAGAACAGCAAATATCTCCATCCAACATTGGCAAGCTCTAGTATAGAAGAAAAAAAAACGAGGAAATCTCAGGGCAGATGGGAGTTATAATCCCTGCAGGATGTCGGCCTGTGGTCTCTCTGCTCCCTCAGTCAGTCATGACCCCTGTCTGTGCCCAAGCACAGCCATGCACCTGGCAGGCGCCGTAACCACATGGCCCTGCCTCCTCAGCGGGTGGGTTTCTCTCTGTGTTGGAGAAACATGAGATCATTTCATTCAGTACTGAACTGTAAGTCTGTAAGATTGTGTTTCTCTCATTTTAGTCCAGGGTAGTGCTCATATCGTCTTAACACAATATTTTATTTCAGAACCGTTTTATTTTTTAACAAATGTTCACTCGTTTACCATAAATGTCACGATTTCATGAGTCCACAACCTGAACTCGCAATATTTTTCTGACATTATTGAGCCGCAGACTTCTCGCGGTGTTCTGTTGCTAAATACTTGGGTGCATTATGAATGGAGGATCCAGGGAAGTGTGGAAGTGCTGCAGTTTGGAGAGACCGACAATCGGATCGTCCAATAGTTGCTTTCAGTCCAAAACGTGTCATTGATTGAACCTCTTTATTAACTTTTTCTTTTTTTTTTATCTCCACAATACATTTATGGCTATACAATGTTAGAATGTGGTTAAGAGGCATGAAAAAAACATTTTAACCTTCTTTCTTATTTTTATTTTTTATTTGACATTGTAGCTTTAATGTGCGGTCCATTTGCTGTTTCACATGTAAACTTCTTGTGTATTTGGCACCTTTGGCTAAGGCAGATTAGCTGTGGTTAGCCGCACCACCCAGCACTGATCTTAAAATCACAAGTGCAGTCGAAACTTCTGTTTTAAACAACAGTCAGTGTACGTTTAACTCTTTATACCAATGTCTGATCAATATTGTTGTGTAATCACTGTTTGCAGCAGAAGTTACACACAACAACTAGGATCCATAAACACAAGCTTGAGATATTAAGTGATATTTGAAATGCAATTTGTAAAAAATCTGATAAGGACGCCAAGCCAGTGCTTGAGGTCAAATCATCCCTTGTTGAAACTTTGTACAGCAATTCTTTATCCATCATGCCCTAGAAACTCCTCATGTGGTCCAGACAAAATGGACCAGACCATTATGAATTTGCAAAGTGAACTGATGGGGTTTGCCGCTGCAGCTGATTCTTCAGATTTTCAGACACGTTGACTAAATATTATTATCGGTGTTTTCAATAGTTCTTCTCTTCTGTAGGACTTGATAGATCCTAAAGATGCAAAGTAAAGCAGTTTTTAAAGGATTGTTGAGACATTAAAAATATGAATATCAGTTTTTATGGTTGTTACAATTGCATCTTTTGTGATTGCATAAATAAATAAATTACAATGAAAAAGTTATTACTGACATATGTGCAATTAAATGATGGCATAAATTGTCTTGGATTCTGACATGAACTCAGCTGTACTTGTCTGTGCAACATGTGACTGGATAATTACATATATTGTGTAATAATAAAAGTACTGTTGTATTCAAGTAAAATGCAAAACTGCATCAACTCACACAGATTTCATTAGCATGCTTAATGAAAACACAGCTGGATAACAGGATGGCGGCACTCCGCCTTAAGAGCTCTGCAGAGGAATTAATGGGAGCATAGTCCTGCTTTCATTCTTTACCTTTTTGTAAGGTATGTGTTCTTAAAGAATTTTGTATAACTACAAATAACTTCAGTAATGTACACTTATCTGTTTTGCATTTTAGCCACAGGTCACATTTTAGAGGTGGTTTAACTGAAAAATCATTTTTAATGACTATTTCTGATTAGAATCAGTCACTGAGAGTTTTTCATGCAGGCCTAACATGAAAATTGTTAGTTGTTGGGTGGAGAAACAGGTTGGATGATGGTCTGGAGCCCCACCAGCTGTGTGTATATGGCCCAAACGGTGATCAAATATTTTTTATTTTCCTATAATAAACTGGTGTATGCTCCAGGATGTGTATTCAGGTTTAGTCTCCTGTGATCAACATCTCAAGAGGAACTTGTTTCCTCTCTTTTCTTCTGAGCTCACACTGCCTACATTTGAAAAATGTTAGTGGATTTTTATTTCAGTGTGTAATTTAAGGATTAAACACAAATATTTGAACTAGATTAACAATCACACTCCATGACTTTAGTGCTGTGTTTGAGTTTTCTTTTTCCACTTCTGTTGTAGAAGAAATGACACACTCGCTGAATGACAGCACGTTGTATTTGGGGGGCTCCTAGACAGCAAACAAAAAAGGAGATGTCTGTTGGAAGAGTGTTGTGTAGCTAAAACAAAGTGATTCATCCCTCAAACACCCAAGACAAGCAGCTATTGTCTTGAAGAAAGTTTTTCTTTTTTCCGTTTTGGAAAATCCCAGCTGAAGGTTGCTGACCCAGCCTTCCTGCAGGTCTGAGTTCCTGTCCAACAATGCCACAAAGAGGAAACAGGGCATTAATTCAGTTAGCAGCTCTGCCAAGATAAGCCTTGGAAGAAAGTAAAAGGGTATTTCCAAAAAGTTGACATTTTGAATCTTATTTATTCTATAAAACTTCCTTAAATTTAATCTGAGAGTAAAATTCCAATTTTACTGATTTAATTGTTTTTCTGTCTAAATCTGAACTTGTGAACTAGAAAATGTGCTTCATTTGAGACAAAAACAAAACAAGAATTTTATTGTGAAATTAGCCCAAGCCCATCACATGGTCTCTAGGCTAGTATTTCTCTTTCTCGTGATGATGTCGTCCCTTCTTGTACTTTCACAATTCTGTGAGACCCTCTGAAGGAAATTTCCCTTCACATTTCCATCCTATTGAAGATTTAGGTTACTTGATTCGGTGCAGCTTTTGTTTCTTTGTGGTCACTAATGGCACTAATGGCACTTACACACTAGCATCGGCTCTACTCCGCCTGGACCGTGTTTGTTGTGTTCTCTTTTAGGTAGCTTTGGATTTTCCTGAGCGCAACTGGATGTCTTTTCAGCCCTCTTCGCGAGGCAGTCTGCCTGGAGCCAAACTGGTTCAACACAACCACTGCTGACTGATTGTCCGGCTCACCATTAAGGGGAGTTGCCGATTGGTTAGGGTTAGGGTTCGAATCAGCTCGGGGGGGCTTCCTGCATGCGTGATTTATTATTATTCTGGATGCTGTGGACCTAACGAGCCTCTGACTGAAGCCGCTTTTCTCTGTGTCACTGCTGTGAGGAGCGCTCACACACACACACACACACACACACACACACACACACACACACACACACACACACACACACACACACACACACACACACACACACACTGCTGCCAGACACAGAAAAGCAGGATGCAATATCAGAGTCAGAGTCCCCAAAAGCAAGACTGCTAAGGCCGTTTTTTGCTTAATAATGTGACACCACAGACTTCTATGCGTTCTTCTGCCCACGTGCTTGGAGATACGAACAGGGACAGGCTGGGGCGGGCGTAGCCGAGCCGAGCCAAGCCGATGCCAGTGTGTAAGTAGCAAATGTGAGAAACAGTTCAACGGCAAATGTCCCCAAAATTCTGAAACTAGAGTTTTGAACATGGATAATCAGATATTTCTCCTAATCAGCCATCCCTCACCTCCAAACCCAATCTAACCACCTTTTACAGAGGTGGTGATCACTACCAACTAATAATCTGTTCTTCTGTCAATTAGCATTCTTCAGTGTCACAAACTTTGTACTGTAGGAAAAATCTAATGAAAAAAGACGGCAAAAGTAATGAAGATAAACAGTAAATTTAGTTCACAGTAAAGATGTTTGCTTAATTATCAGCTTATAAAACTACAAGGACGATGTTAAAATACAAACAGTTGTATGTTATTTATCGTGATATTCATCAAATATTGTTATATATTGAGAAAAATATATATTTAATTATAAAAGAGAATTAAAAATATTGAAAATATTCGTAGGTACCGGGAATTAGTACCGGATCGATTCAAATGTCAAAGGTACCCATCCCTACAAGGAGACACATGAGGGAGACACAGACGCAGACCATGACAGTTGCATGGTCTTAATGGGGTGAAGTTCTACATTTCACAGGTTTTCTTGGGAACCTGTTCACAGTGCTGCCAGCATGGCGACGTACAAACCGGAAGTCCACACTCCTATTTTTTAGTGATCATGTTGAGTTTGAATACAGACAAATATGAAAACATATAATTTACAGTATTAAATTGTCAGGCCCGCTTAGACATTTAAGTTGCAGCGACAAAGTGTCCTTAATCTCTAAATGTGTTGGTTAAAGCTCCATGTTTATTTATTTATGTATATTCCTTTGATCGCTGCTGTATTTCTGCCCATTTTCTTTGTATTGTTTTCCTAAGCTCCCTTCATTGTCCTCTTGGGTCACGTTAAGACACCTACAGGGGTTTTTTTGCCCTTTGGCTTGTAGCCGTTGTCTCAAATGTCCCATGAGTGTGTTGCTTGCACAAACAGTACTTCCAGGGTCACAGAAGGGTCTTAGATAAGTCAGCAACCATAAAGAGGGTACTATTTATAGAACTGTGTCTGAGGCTTTTCAGTGAGACAGATGTTACAGAAATGTGTGCACGACATGAATGTTGCAGCAGTACATTCACATCCACAAGGTTGGTCCACATTCCTTACATTCAGACACGTGAATGAAACTGTTCACATCGGCCATGCATACATACAGTACGTGTATATTTAACTAGTCTCAGCCTCTCTGCCCTCTTTCCTTTTTTGTAAAGTGAAGCCATCATGCTCTGTAAACGGTTGCTGCCGACCTGTACTGCAGACAGTTTATACGGTTTGCCTAAGTTTCTAGGCTAGTAATAACTAAACATATTATGCAAAACATGTAAACAAATATGCTCACTGGCAACTTTATAGGGTACACCTTTCTTGTAGCAGGTTGGAACCCCTTTTGCCTTCAAAACTGCCTTAATCCTGCGTGGCATTGATTCAACAAGGTACTGGAAACATTTCTCAGAGATTTTGGTTCATATTGACATGATAGCATCATGCAGTTGCTGCAGATGTGTCGGCTGCACGTCCATGATGCAAATCAAGTAGTGACAGTGGAGGCCATTTGAGTACAGTGAACTTATTGTCATATTCAAGAAACCAGATGAGATTATTTGAGCTTTATGACATGGTGTATTATCCTGCTAGAAGTAGCCATCAGAAGATCGGTACACTGTGTTCGTAAGGGGATGGACAGAGTTAGCAACAACACTAAGGTAGGCTGTGGTGTTGCAATGATGATCAGTCATTACTAAAAGGCTAAGTGTGCTAAGAAAATGTCCCCCACACCATTACACCACCAGCAGCAGCCTGAACTGTTGAGACAAGGCAGGATGGAGCCATGCTTTAATTCTGTTGACAGCAAATTCTGACCCTACCATCCGAATGTGGCAGCAGAAATCGAGACTCATCAGACCAGGCAACATTTCTCCAATCTTCTGTTGTCCAATTTTTGTGAATTGTAGCCTCAGTTTCCTGTTCTTAGCTGACAGGAGTGGCACTCGGTGTGGTTTTCTGCAGCTGTAGCCCATCTGCCTCAAGGTTTGACGTGTTGTGCATTCAGTGATGCTCTTCTGCATACCTTGGTTTTACCGAGTGGTTATTTGAGTTACTGTTGCCTTTCAACTCAAACCAGTCAGGCCATTCTCCTCTGATCTCTGGCATCAACAAGGAATTTTTGCTGACATAAGTAATGAGATCAATTCCCAGCACTTAGGTTTTGTAATTCAATGAAGGAAAAAATGCCTTATTGAAAAGTGACTGACTTTTAAAATAAAGTGCATTGCATCTCCATTTGTTTGTTTTTGTGTCTGTTTGCATGTGCTTGTTGGGTCGTGTATGTCCATGTTATATTGTGCTGTCATCTCTGCCTCTGTGTACGTGTTTGTCCATGTGTGTCGGTGTGTGTATGTGTGTTTTGTGTAGGAATGCGCCCTCTGCATTATGCTGCATGGCAGGGGAAGACTGAACCAATGAAAATGCTGCTGAAAGCAGGCTCGTCAGTCAACGGACAGTCAGAAGAAGGACAGATTCCTCTGCACCTGTCGGCTCAGCATGGACACTACGATGGGGTAACTGTGTGTGTGTGTGTGTGTGTGTGTGTGTGTGTGTGTGTGTGTGTGCGTGCGTGCGTGCGTGTGTGTGTGTGTGCGCGCGCGCGCGTGCGTGTGTGTGCGCATGTGTGTGTGTGTGTGTGTGTCTGTCTGCTATGCAGACCTGATGATGCAAACATGAAATACTTGTTAGGACAATCAGATGTAACCAGTGAGTTGTGTGTGTGTGTGTGTGTGTGTGTGTGTGTGTGTGTGTGTGCGTGCGTGCATGTGTGTGTGTGTGTGTGCGTGTGCGCGTGCGTGTGTGTGTGTGTGTGTGTGTGTGTCTGCTATGCAGACCTGATGATGCAAACATGAAACACTTGTTAAGACAATCAGATGTAACCAGTGAGTTGTGTGTGTGTGCGTGCGTGTGTGTGTGTGTGTGTGTGCGTGTGTGTGTGTGTGTGAATATGCTACAGTCTGAGATGCTACTACAACATCAGTCCAACCCGTGTATCTCAGATTCAGCTGGAAAGACTCCGCTGGACCTTGCTTGTGAATTTGGACGTGTTGGCGTGAGTACCTACGCACAACAGAACACTGATGTATGCTCTGGTCACTTTATTAGGTACACCTCAGAACTTAATTCTTTATTATATTCACATATTCAGCAAAGTGCCGGACCAGATGAGTTGCTACCATCTGATTGGCTGGTGAGCTATTAGGTGTAACTAAAAAAGTGGCCAGTAGATGTAAATTATGTTTTTCCCATAAAAACAAAACCTTTTAAAAATTGCACTTCCAGAACTTTCAGATGTGTGACTGGAGTGTGAGAAGCGAGGGAGGAATCTTTCAGTAAAGGCTGTTTCTACCTGTGTGTGTGTTGGTTCGGATCGATTAGTGATTTTAGTGTGTGTGTGTGTGTGTGTGTGTGTGTGTGTGTGTGTGTGTGTGTGTGTGTGTGTGTGTGTGTGTGTGTGTGTGTGTGTGTGTGTGTGTGTAGGTGGTCCAGCTTCTGCTCAGCAGCAACATGTGTGCAGCCATGCTGGAGCCAAGACCTTCTGACCCAAACGGGGTGTCACCTCTGCATCTTGCGGCTAAGAATGGACACATAGAAGTCATAAGGTCTGAAGCAGCTCTGCTCTTGTTCTGCCTCCCTCAGTCTGCTTTCACACCTCCTCATTCAGTGTGTGTGTGTGTGTGTGTGTGTGTGTTTGTGTGTGTGTGTGTGTGTGTGTGTGTGTGTGTGTGTGTGTGTGTGTGTGTGTGTGTGTGTGTGTGTGTGTGTGTGTGTGTCTTTAGACAAACCTGAGCAGTTCCCATGAAGCTTTCCTGCAACATTATTCTTTTAGATAACTTTTCTACGTTTACTTATTTTCAACAGTCCTTCTTCAGGATCCTTTTCAAATAGATGGAGACTTAATTTTAGTAAAGGTAGCTAAACAGCACTGAATCAAAGCCACACACACTATGTTGACCAGCATTTGCTACACAACACCGACTAATAAAACCAGTTCACATTAGCTTCAGCCCTGTAGCAAACTACTACTGCTGAATCTGCTGCTCCTTTATAACATTGTACAATGTTGGTGGCATAGACTTCCTCTGCTGGGGTTCATTAAACCCTTAAAAACTCCCTCGACTCCACGACTGCTTGTTCTGTCATGCTCGTCCTCTCACATATACAGCGAACACTAAAGAAACGGCCATCAAGTAGACTAAACTTGATTTTCCACCAGGGGGGTTCTTTAAATGGGGTTAAATGTCATCTTCGTGTCACATTTAACTGCAGCACAAGTTTGCTTACTTTGTTTTCTGCTCAGGCGGCTGCGCTGGATGTCTGGCACAAAAGCACAAACTGCAGCCTGCTTAATTAAGAAAATTTAATATCGAAATGTTTAAAATACAATAATAATGGTAGAAATAGAAAATTAAAACCATATTTGCTGGATTTGATTGCCCACTTTAGGGAACACGTATTTGTTTTTAGTTTGTTTGTTTTTTTGTCTTACATTGGTAGAATTAAATCATGAACACGTTCTATCAAAGATATGGTTTATATGTTGCAGGTTGTTGATTCAGGCTGGTATAGATATCAACAGACAGTCTGAGTGTGGCACAGCTCTACATCAGGCTGCCCTCTGTGGGAAGACAGAGGTAGTGCGCCTGCTGCTGGATGTAAGTGATGACCACCTCTTAAAGTCTAAAGAAGCTAAAACTCAAAGCTTATTTTTATCCTGCCTCACATGAAATGTTTTTACAGAGGCGGCAGCGTTGATCAGTTTTCTGCTCTGCTTCATTCTAGAGTGGCATCAGTGCAGGAGTGAGGAACACTCTGAGTCAAACCGCTCTGGATATCGTTAACCAGTTCACCACCACGCAGGCCAGTAGAGAGATCAAACAGCTGCTCAGAGGTGAAGCACAACAATGCACTCACACAACTCTTCTAGTTCTTGTAGAAACAGAATAAAAACAAACAGCAACAAAAAAATTCTTAATGAGAATCAGTTTATATTAGAAAGTCTTATCTTGTGTCTGCATTCTTGTTTTGTAGATGCTTCGGCTGCAATGCAGGTGCGAGCACTGAAGGATTACTGCAACAACTATGACCTTACCAGTCTGAACATCAAAGCTGGAGATATAATCACGGTACTGCCCCTAAAAAAATGAAGTAAAAAATGATGTGTGTGTGTGTGTGTGTGTCATAGGCGTCATTTTAACCAGGGACATGTCCCCGGCAAAATTTGTGATTGGCAGCTGTGTCCCCCCCACTTTCAAAAAAGCCTGCTGATGAGGATTTTTGTTTTACCAGCTCAGATCTTATACCAGGGGTCGGCAACCTGTTCCCATCAAAGAGCCATTATTACCCGTTTCCCACAGTAAAGAAAACACCGCAGCAGCCGCGGCGTTGTGGGCAGGGCCTACTCTCAGACAGCAGAGAGCTGCTCACAACAGGTGACAGCAGCCGGTACCGGTCGCTCGCATCAGCGTCGCACCCGTGGGGGATGGGGGGATGCAACACCCACACTTTTCTTTTTTTTTTTTTTTTTTTACCGTGTCCTGTCTGGCTGTGAAGCAAGCAGAATTGATGTCTGAATGCTGGTGACAAGCCTTACAGATTTATTCTCAGGTGGAGCATCAAAGCGTTTGCTTTTAATGTCACGCCTGATACTTAAAACTTTATTGTTATTGTTGTTGAATGCTTTGTAATTCCGACCAGACACGGAGACAGAGGTGAAAGAGAAAGGAAGAGAAAAGGTGGAGAGAGAGGAGGGGGGGGGGGGGGGGGGGGTCCACAAAAATAAACAATGAACAAGAGTCTGCTTCTAGACCTGCAGAAAAAGACAAAAAAAAAACAAAAGGACACAAAAAAGGGACACAACAACAATACAACAAGATCTACCTATCACTGCGTCAACTTGATGAAAAAAAAAACAAAAAAAAACTATATATATATATATATACACATACATACACACATATAATCAACATTGCTTAACTGAAGAATCACGATAATAAATCACAATGCATTAAGTGCCCCCCATAGTCTTAAGACACCCACACTTTTCTTATTGAGATCATTCAACACCCACACTTTTGGCGTCGCACCCGTGCGGGATTCAACACCCACACTTTTCCAGCTGTTTTGCTCACCTCCACACCAGTCTGGTTTCTTTACGTCGCACTCACTCTGTTTGCCTCATCTCCTTCTTCACCTCCAGCTTCTGACAGCCGATGTCGGGTTTCCAGGAGAGCAGGAGAGGGAGGGACGGAAGAGCTCGACTGAATTCATAATTTTACATCTTGACATTAGCTGTACAAAGTCTGAGTTTGATAAAGTGAAGAACAACAATTTGCAGAGGTTTATAACAGGCGCGGTGCCAGGTTTTCATTTTTGGGTGGGCCACGGTAATTTTGGACGGACCTTAATAAGCAGTGACTTAAGTGAAGCAGGCAGGTCGCGCTAGAAAATTTTGTTTAAAAAGATGTCATAAATGTGTTCCCCCGTCATTTTTATTTCTAAAATATGAAGTAAAAACTCACAATTTAATTTTCATTCATTTGTCATTAATATGTAGTCTACACCCGTGCGTTAAGTGGACCATCTTCCAGTAAAAGCAAAGCATCCAGCCCACCTCTCAAAATGCGTAAAATGTGCATCAGCCGCTAGTTAGGCGCGCCACGCGCACCATCAGCTACGTCAGTCCAGACAAGAGCAGAGCAAATAGAGAAAGAATAGAGGATAATTGTGTCTAGATGTGGATGGAGATTACATTTTACAGCAGCCTGATCATCATTTAAATACGTAAACCTCACCTGTCTTCTAGTCCACGCTATCAGCATTATTTTAATTGGTGTGTGTGTGTGTGTGTGTGTGTGTGTGTGTGTGTGTGTGTGTGTGTTTTCCACTTCAAACACTGGTCTAACCAACCAGACCAGCGTGTCCAGTAACATATTAATGTTACACTTCATGTAGGCTAGGAGCATTTCACCTGCCGTGGCCCGACCGCTTCTGCTCCACATAAACTTTGTGCGTAATCAAATGTCTCTACAGGTGCTTTCTGAGCTGAAGAGGCTATTCTGCCTCAGACTGGATGCGTAATGCGTCTCCATATTAGAGACGGGAACAAGCGCTGTTCAGCCAAAGTTTCATAATTTCATAAAAATAACATTTTTCCAAGTGACACATCCCTCAGAGAGACCGGGTTCCCAGACCGCTTCAGTGGGAGAAAATCTTACCGCATGCACCGTGGTTCTGCGCTGCGCTGCGAACCCCTCTACAGATCTTCAGCCCACTGTCCACCGTGTTCGCTTCGAGCCGCGCTGAACACAGTGTCCAGTATAAAGCTCTGATGTTCTGATGGGAATCATTTCTTGATTGATTTAGTTACCTCCGCGATGTGCGTAACGATTAAAATGTCAGCTCATCCATGCGCATCAGTGTGCGTCGGGGTAATTCTTTCAAAACAACCAACATCCTTGAGTTTATCCGTCAAAATAAACAGTCAAATGTAAATATCTGTAACCTGCCATTTAACTGTTTTACCTTCCTGTGAAGATTGTTGCAAAGAGAAACAATTAAACTTGATTAACCCCAGAGCCACGCACACTGCGCTGTACTGACTGTAAATGAGGGGAAACGATTTTATCGGATCCTTTTCTTTTCAACATGGTTTAACGTAAAGTTTCATTCAGTACAAACTTTAGTTACACCAATCTAACGAGACAGAGCCTGGATTTGTATTCTGAACAGTTTAAACATGTTTAAAACGGAGACATGCGTGACGCGTCTAAAATTCGCACCTGCTCCGCTATTATGGAAATTAAACTAACAAGATGAATAACATGAACTTATTTTAGGCACAGACAACATCCCCCACACTTTTGAAAAGCTTGCAACGCGCCTGGTCGCTCGTGTACATCAAAGTTATCTTTCATAAGACGATAATCAATAAAACGATTTATATAAAGTGGATCCAGAAGTTGTAGCCCGTCTCTGCCTTCAATTTGTGGTATTTTTCACCCTGTTGGTGGTTTTACTGAGCAGGTGCCCCTTTTGTCACACGCTTCTTTTTAAAACATGTTTAGACTGTTCAGAATACAAATCCAGGCTCTGTCACGTTTGATTGTTGTAATTAAACTTTGTAGGTGGGGAAGGTCAGAAAAAGATCCGATCAGTTTGTTTTTCCCTCATTTACAGTGACGGAGATAACGGCGCAGTGCGACTGGCTCTGGTGTTAATCAAGTTTAATTTGATCTATTTTCACAAGAAAACAGAACAGTTAAAAGCAGGGCTTGTGCTGACTGGACAGTTCCCGCATTTGACCGTTTATTTTGACGGAGAAAGAATAGAAAGAATTACCCCGACGCATGCAGACGAACTGACATTTTATTCTACGCACATCGCAGATGTAGCTAAATCACTCAAGAAAAGATTCCCATCTGAACATCTGAGCTGGACTCTGCTCAGCGCAGTTCACTGTCAGCATGTACTACATAAGGTACACAGCGAGCTGAAGATGTAGAGAGGGGCTTGGAGCGCATCGCAGAACCAGAGCGCATGCGGGAAGGTTCCTCCCACTGAAGCGAGCGTTTTCCAAACCCTGTCTCTCAGAGAGATTTGTCACTTATAAAATGTTCCCTGATGATGAAACTTTGGCTGAATAGTGCTTGTTCCTGTCTCCAATGTGGCAATGCATCCAGGAGCCGTCTGAGGAGAATCCCAGAATCTCACATCCTCTTCAGCTCAGAAAGCGCCTATGATTACGCACAAGCGTGACGCGTCAACCCGGTCTCACAGTAAGACCAGGTTGGACCTGTTCAGGTTTACGCAGACAATCTTTACATTTAGAATTGGCATACAGATGTAAAATTAATGCAGTAAAATATAAAGCATTTTATTTAAATACCCATTCATTATTTTACAAGCACAGAGAGCCGCATCAGATGGATGGAAGAGCCGCATGCGGCTCCAGAGCCGCGGGTTGCCAACCCCTGTGCTAGCCTACTTTATTGTCCCCAGCAATTTTTAAACCCCACTCAAGTGTATGGTTATTGTCCCCAGCAATTCTGAAAACAAACTGACGCCCTTGGTGTGTGTGTGTGTGTGTGTGTGTGTGTGTGTGTGTGTGTGTGTGTGTGTGTGTGTGTGTGTGTGTGTGTGTGTGTGTGTGTGTGTGTGTGTTCCAGAATTCAAAACTACATTTACCTTGTTGATTATAGGCAGCTTGGGGTGAATTAAGCCTTGTTTATGCTTCTCCGTCTGCGTTGGAACGGAAACACGCATACACCATACCGTTGTTGCAAGGGCTCTCCAACAGGCTCGCAAGAATGGATGGAGTTGAGTCTACTTTTTTAAACATCCATCAAACGAAACGGAGACCACAAGCTTGAGATTGGTCAGGACGCCTCTTCCTTTAAAATGTCATCACCATTCCCCCTGAAAAACAATAACAGACAGCTGACGATATCTAGCAGCAGACCCTGAGATCCTTCAAAGGAATCTCCTACCATCTTTATGCAGATGACATCCAACTGTACATCTCCTTTAAGCCCCATGAGATGTCTAAGCTGTAGCTGTTACACACCTGCTTAGACTCTATCAAAACCTGGATGGTGGGAGCTTTCTACAGCTGAATGAAGATAAGACTGAGATCCTCATCTGTGCCCCAGACAAGCTGGTTCCCAAAGTCAGAGACTCTCTTGGTCAGCTTGCTTCTCACACCAAACCTTCTGTCAGGAATCTTGGCGTGACCTTTGACCCAGCTCTCACCCTGGATTCTCATGTCAGTTCTCTTGTTCGCTCTTCCTTCTTCCATCTCAGGAACATTGCTAAGCTGAGTCCCATTCTGTCCCGCTCTGAACATGAGACGGTTCTCCACACCTCCATCTCTTCAAGCTTAGACTACTGTAACTCTCTTTTCATGTGTCTGAGCAGAACCTCCCTGAACCGTCTACAGGTGGTTCAGAACGCCCGTGCTCAGCTTCTGACCAAGTCCTCCAAACACACCCACATCACCCCGCTTCTCCTCCAGCTTCACTGGCTGCCAGTCAACTTCAGGGTTCATTTCTTAGTCCCTACACCCCCAGCAGGTCCCTGAGGTCCAGTGATCAAAGACTACTGGTTGTGCAACGCACCAGGCTAAAGACCAAAGGTGACAGATCATTTGCTGCTGTGGCCCCCAGACTCTGGAACTCTCTCCCCCTGAGCCTGAGATCAGTGGACTCAGTGGTCTCCTTTAAAAAGCAGCTGAAGACTCACTTGTTCAAGCTGGCTTTTGTATGACCTTCTTCACCACTCTCTCTTTATTCTGCTCTCCCCACCTATTCCACCTTCCTCAGGATCCACTGATTTCCCTCTTTCCTGTTCACTCTCTCTCTTTCTTAACATTTTTTCTTTTAAATCCCAATTGCCTATTTTTGCTAATTTTAAATATATTTTTAAACATTTTCTAAATGCTTTTTTATATTTTTACTTTTTTTTTGTTGTTTTTGTGAATTGCCTCGTGATTTTTATCTTGAGCGGCGCTATAGAAATGATATTTTCTTCTTCTTCTTCTTCAAAGCAGTTTGAAAAATACCTCGTGGAAAAACTCTGAAAAAAATCCTTTATTCACCCATGACTGGAGGGGTATAATGACACGCATCAAGTGTTTTATTTGTGAATGGAAATTATGGGAAAGGTGGGTTTACAGATGGTGAGCGCATGAAGAGATGGAGGAGAATGAGGGACAAAGTTGTCTCTGAAATACAAAAAACACATTATCAACACAATAGTAAATGTACTATCTTGGACCAGATACAAGACAGGATACCACAGAATAGCACTACGCCCTCTGTTGTCCTGGTGGGGAATTACTTTGCGACACTCCCCAGGTGACGGAGAAGTCTGAAGGCAAAACGTCTCTGTTAATGCGTGTTATGGATTTTATCTGTATGTTTACCAATAACCTGTTTCCTGATCGAAGAGGAGAGGAGAGACACATTAAGCAGACAAGTCAACCAGTTATAACTGTGGCATATGCACGAGGCAAAATGCCCCTAAACATCTGGTCACAGAGTGTATTTAAACAAAAAGATAAGAAAGAAATGGGAGTGAGAGAGAGATTGTGTGTGTGTGTGTGTGTGTGTGTGTGTGTGTGTGTGTGTGTGTGTGTGTGTGTGTGTGTGTGTGTGTGTGTGTGTGTGTGTGTGTGTGTGTGTGTGTGTGTGTGTGTGTGTGTGTGGCTGGTGTGGGTGTGTCTGAATAAGTGAGCATGCAAATAGGCATAGAGTAATACATATTACATTCACTTGATTGAATCAATGATCAAGACATAATAGACATAAAATTTCCATAACAATGCGTGTCCGTCTCCCTCGCTGAGCTGACAGAGAAGCATAAATTAGGATTTATGTAGCATAGCAACAAGCCTGTGCTGTCTCTGACCTGCTTTCCTGTGTAAATCAGTAATGTTGTAATGGCCATGCCCACCCCTAAATGAACACGTTCCAAACCTACTTCAACGTCAGCCATATATAAACATTGCTCACGATAACGCTAACAGCAGAACAATGTAAACTCAAGCTAGTCCTGACACTAGCCAGAGCTGCTGCTAATGTTCCAGTTGGAGGGAAAACATCACAGATGGACGTTGGAGCAATGCTCACATTGGAGAAGGTACTAGGAATATCCAGACTTTCAGATAGTTCCAAATCTTGTGCTCTGGTCCTACAGGGTGCCGCTGACCATGCACACACACCCCCCACCCCCACCCCCACCCCCCCGTTTCCTAAAATCCTGTTTTCTGTGTCAAGATGATAAGTGTTAGAGAGGCCCAATCAGAACATTCCTTGCACATGTGTCAGGGGTATCTTCAGCTGCAGTCGCCGATGTAAAAACATGAATCGGTGTTTGTGTGCAGGTTTTGGAACAGCACTCTGATGGCCGGTGGAAAGGCTGCATCCATGATAACCGCACAGGAAATGACCGTGTAGGCTACTTTCCCTCCAACATGGTGGAAGTGATCAAGAGGGCAGGTGACCACCCACACCACAACTGTGTGTGTGTGTGTGTGTGTGTGTGTGTGTGTGTGTGTGTGTGTGTGTGTGTGTGTGTGTGTGTGTGTGTATGTGTGTGTAAGAGCTTTTGCATGTGTTAGTCCAGCAGCTGTTCTGTATTTGTAGTTGGCAGCAGCTAATAGCATCCATCAACCTGTCAATCATCTTCACTGATCAGCCACTGTCCCCTGGCTATTATCCCACCTCGTCCTCAAAGTGTTCCCTCCTTCCTCCCTTATCAATAAGACCCCTCCCTGCTAACCTGCTTCAGTATACTGTAGTGTTTTTATCTTCACATCTTTTCTTTTTGCCTTGTTGCTTGTGTTTATACAGGTTTATTCCCTGTGGATATATGAATGTTTTTGTAACCGGATTACAGGATACAATAAGATAATTAAAAGAAAAAATAAACAAATGGGCCAATAATTAGGTTCGGGGAGAATTGGAGGTTGTTTAAGAATGACTGGAGTCACGGGTATAGCATGAAACGGTTTATATACTAAATTTTAATAATAATGGGAAAGATAACACACAAAAACAGATGAAAACAATCGACAATAGTAAAATGCTCGGTATGAGATTTGATCATATGAGTCACAAGTCAGCCAGCGTCAAGTCAAATCCCCACGCTTGGGGTGAAAGTCAGAGTCCGGTGGTGCGATTTTTTCCTACCGCACCGTTGAGATTGTTCACAGAAGAGAGCAGTCTGCTCTTCAGTTACTTGAGATGTCCTGGTTCGTTCAGTGGTTAAGGCTCGCCATCTCCCTCGTCAGGAAGAAATCCAGTTCTCGTTCCAAGTGAGTGATCATAGGAGTCGGGATCAAACCCAAGGAAAAAAAAAAAACCCAGCCTGTAAACAACAGGACTGTTAGCGAGTTGGCATCGACCCTTCTCGTCACATCACAGCATAAAGTCTTACAGACTTAAACAAATGCTTCACTCTATTGGCATAGCCAATCATGTTTGGGTTCACAGTTCAACTAACATAACATCAATTTGATTGTCTATTAAAATAATTCTCAGTAGCTCTGGAAATATAATTACATATGACAACAATTGTTCAGCTCAATAGGCTCAGTTAGATTCTATTACTCTACACTATTCAACAAGAAATACATTCATGACAACAAGGATACATTTAGTTGTGTTTCTATACAGCATTGTGACACCTTGTATATCTGTAACACAATAAATAAATAAATAAATAAATAAATAAATAAATAAAATGTTCTATAACAAAACTCAACAAAATATAAATTCTGGTCCTTTGGTCCACCTTTGTAAAATAATTCCTCCCTAATCAGTTAGCTTTTATTTATTTTTATTTATCTATTTTTTTTTTATTATTAAATGTTTGGTTAAGGGACGCATTGCTAATTCTATGGCGTTAGCTATAACGCCCCTGAGGACCTTGTACATCTAGGCCGTACCACCATTAACTGGCGGTTTGAGCCGTTAACTCCTGGGAATCCCATATGCCCTACCGCCGTTAACTGGCGGTTTGAGCCGTTAACTCCTATATGCCCTACCACCGTTAACTGGTAGTTTGAGATGTTAACTCCTGGGATCTAACGTCTAGCAGCCCACTGCTGTCACCTCGGTTGCTGTAATTAGCTTTTTGAATTTAATAATTTACTGAATTTAATCTCATTCACTCACCAACGCGCTCCAACGGTTCCCTCCTACAGAGGATTGGTTCACTCTGTCGTCTCCACACAAATCTATAAGAATGGAATTAATTTGATAAGCTATTTAAGTTTCCTTTTTTTTTTTAAGTTGCATCGTTAGCTTTTTCTCTTCTTTTTTCTTTACTCACCGCGTTGGTTCCAAGTTCCTAGCTCTTATTAGAAGGAGTCAAGTCCGCCTCTCCCTCTATCTATGCGGCACCCAAATCAGGGTTCTTCACGGCCTCGACCGTTGTTTTTTTTTTCTCTCTCTCTCTCTCTCTAACCGCTCAGTCTTTGCTTTCTGTATCTGCGTGCTGCACAGCCGTTTGTCTCTCCTCTCGCTCAGCTGCGTCGCACGGTTTTATTTCGCGGAGGCGGGACTTATTTCTCTCAGCCAATGAAATTTCAGATTCCCACCTGGACCAATAGTATACAGCTTTCCTCTTCTGTTTCTGTTAGGGATGTTCAAGATTCTTGTTTTAACCGATGTTTAATATTAAACTCGTTATTTTAGTTATTCACCCTTCCAATAATTCATTATGAAATTATCTATTAGTTAATTAGATATCTATTAATTAGTATTGTTAATTTCCTTAATTTATATTTTATATTTTATCTAAATTGAGGATGGATCATATTAGTAAGCCAATTAGTTAATACCTCATTAAGGTTCTAGCTTCTGGGTTACATCCTCCCCCATTAAATATCATGCACGTCCCTGTGCATTGTTTCTACGGGGTACACAACTTCTTGAGTAAGAGAGTCAATAAAAGCTTTATTAAGTCCTTGGAAAAGGGACCTAACTACGGTCACTAGTGGATTGCCCAATTGAGAGTAAGTTAGTCTTTGAGGAGGCTGACTACTTCGTTCAGATCTCCTGACATACATCTCTGGTTGCACAGTATCATGCTCATCCGTTTCGGTTTGATTCTCAACTGAGACAGGACGAAGTGAGCTCTCTGTTTCCGACAGAGCTGATGAGCTATTCTCTAAGACTTTGGTCTTTTCAGATGTATGTGTCTGATCGTGTATGATGGGTTCAAAACTTACATCACGTTGCTGCGACTTTAGGACACCATCCAATTGAGGTAGGTTTGTGTTAGTTTCATCCCCCGTTTCTACGTCAGGTAAGTATACTTCGTTTTTTTTCGTTTTTTCAGGTAAGTATGTTGCTGCTCCTTTCACTCTTTCAGGTAAGAATGTCGCAGTTTCACTCATTCTGTCAGGTAAGAATGTTTCGGTGTTGATGCCTTTGTCAAGTAAGGACAATTCAGCATTTTCATTACCAGCTAAGGTTGGTTCCTTGCGATCCCCTGTGTGTAAGGATAGTGTGTTTTGTTGTTGAATATTATTTACCGGTCCTGAATCTGCTATGAGTTCCCTATTTGGCAAGGTGACCGCTATTTGATAGGATGGTCGGTTTAGCACTTGTGGAAGATCAGAGTGATAAAACTCATCTACCTCTTCGTCAAGTGGCTCATCTGGGTCAGGTTCTAAGGCTGAACTCTGTCTTGTATGAGGTCTGCTAGGTTTCGTAACGCGTTCTGTTTCATTTTCTAATGAAGAGAGAAAACCACAAGGCAGTAAAAGATCTCTGTGGAGTGTTCTGTTGGGTCCTTCTCCGTTCTCTGGTTTTACAGTGTATACTGGCAAGTTTTCCATCTGTTTGAGAACTATATACACTGTTTGCTCCCATTTGTCTGCTAATTTATGCTTTTCTCTTAAGCGAAGATTTCGGACTAAAACACGATCTCCCACACCTAGTGTGGACTCGCGAATGTTTCTGTCGAACCGTTCTTTGTTCTTCCTCGCTGTTTTTTGAGAGTTTTTTATGACAATGTCATAACTCTGTTCCAGATGACTCTTCAGTTCTTTAACATACTGAGAATGAGTTATAGAGGGCTTGTTCAAATGCGGTAACCCAAAGGCAATATCTATAGGCAACCGAGGCTGCCTACCGAACATTAGCTCGTAGGGAGAGTATCCCGTCACGTCATTTTTTGTACAATTGTACGAGTGAGTAAGTGGTTTTACAAAATCGCGCCAGTGATGTTTCTCAGTGGCTTGTAAAGTTCCCAACATGCTGAGTAATGTACGATTGTACCGTTCAACGGGGTTGCCACGAGGGTGATAAGGGCTCGTTCTGACTTTACGGATACCAAGTAAAGAACAAAGTTCCTTGATTGTACGTGATTCGAAATCCCGTCCCTGATCACTATGAAGACGCTCAGGAAACCCGTAGTGGACTAAAAAATGTTCCCACAGGTTCTTCGCGACGGTGGTGGCTTTCTGATCTTTGGTTGGGATGGACACTGCATACTTTGTAAAATGGTCTGTAATCACTAAGACATCTTTAGTGTTCTTACTGTCTGGTTCTATGGAGAGAAAATCCATGCAAACTAACTCCATAGGTCTGGTGGTGGTAATACTCACCATTGGAGCAGCTTTGTCAGGGAGGGCCTTCCGACGGATACATCTTTCGCAAGTTTTAACTTTGATTTCGATATCACTAGCCATTCTTGGCCAGTAAAAACGGGACCGAATGAGATCTGTCGTACGTTCAACCCCAAGATGCCCCATATCATCATGTAGGCTTTGCATGACTGTTGAACGTAATGAATCAGGCAAGACTAACTGCAATGATGTCTCTGGTCCTAATTGGCGTCTCCGGTACAGTAAATCATTTTGAAACTCAAACCGTTTCCACTCTCTCAAAAGGTTAAGAACCACCGGGGGTTCTGCAATAGTATCAGTTGGCGGTTTATTGTCAGTCATAAGCAGCTGAATGACTCGGCCAATGGTTGGATCTTTCCTCTGCAAGGAGACAAGGTCAGCATGGTTATACTTGGGCACAGCAAAGAAACTGTCACTATTGTCTTCCAACTGGAATAGGTCTGGAATGGCCGCTGCAGACATGGCAAGTGACTGAACTAAACCACAAGGAGAATCAGTCTCATCCAAGACCATGTGCTTTTGGCATGTTGCCTTCACTGCTTCGGCTTGAAGTTGAAGCTCGACTTCTTTGACAGAGGATAAAAGATGAGATCGGAACTCATCTAGTCGTTGGCATTCCTCAGTGAATTTTGAGTTGTCTTCAGGTTTATCATGCAGCCTCCTAGACAGGCCATCCGCGTCAACGTTCTGTGTACCTGCACGGTATCTGATGTCAAAATTATAGGTGGACAACGCAGCTAGCCAACGATAGCTCGTTGCATCGAGTTTTGCCGTTGTTAAGAGGTAAGTTAACGGATTATTATCAGTAATGACAGTGAATGTGTTCCCATACAAATAGTCATGAAACTTATCTGTTAG